AATAAAAATCATTATTTATATATTGAATTAAACGAAAATATAATTTTTATAATAACAATTTTATTTTTCAATATAATCAATTTTAATTATTTGTTAGTGAATTGTGTCTATATATATATTATTATCGATGAATTATTTTATTTTTTCTTATTGAATCAGAATTAAAAATACAATATAAATATAAATATCCATTAATATTTTGAAATTATGATTATTTTATATTAAATAACTTACTTATTTGATTTTTTAAAAATCTCAAAATAAACCAGAATAAATTTCACTTAAATATATATGTTTATGAATTTCTTGTAACTGCAGATGCAAAAAAATATTCATTAAATAAAAAAACATTGATGAAAGATATTTTGAAAAATCTTCCTTTTATTTTCATTAATAATCTCATTATAATATATAAATAAGAAATGATTCATTTTATCAATCTTACTTTATTCTTTCTAGTATTACTTTATTCTTTCTAATATAATTTTTTTTCTTTTTTGTATCATATTTTCAACGAAATAATACTATCAATAATTCAAAGAAATTTATCATTGCTATTATTATGTTGTTAAAAGAATTGTTGAAGAAAGTGAAAAACATATGTATTTATTGATATCAATTATCGATATAATAATAAAATATTTTGCAATTAAAACATCATGTATCACAGATCTTGTCAATGATTACATACGTATATCACTGATGGTATACATATGGCACTCCTCTAAATGATAACGTTATCGATTGAAATTAAAATTAATCTTTGTGCAACTTATTGTGCAGAAATTTTACTTTATAAAATAACAATATTTTGTATTAAATTCATTATAATAATTGTAAAATAATATTTTATTTTTTAGTTTTTATTTAAAATTGTAAAGGAAAATTAATTATTAAGTTCACTATTTTAATTACTTTAGTCATTTATACGATTAATATAGATATTAATATAAATAAATATTAATATTCTTTTGATATTTTACTTTGGATATTAAATTTAAAATTAAACGTGATAAATTACAATAAATAAATTAAAAAAATTATTATTTTATCTTTTCGTACAAAATATTATTTTGAAAAATATTTGCATAATTTTACATATAATTGTACAATTTTCCAGATGTTTAAAACAACGAGTTTATTGAATCTACTTTTGATTTCATTTTTTACATTCACGAGACATTAAACAAATAATATCTCAAAAATATGTCAAGTAAACTTGAATCTGCACTGACCAGACAATTGATAGACAAATCGATAACATAATGTTTCAAAATGTAAATATATCTCACTAAGATATCTAGAGTTTTAAAGATTATATTATTACATTATCTATTATAATATACATATAATTTTATTATTATTATTATTATTATAATGCTTAATATCCATTTTGTATTAAGAATTAAAAATAAACATATAATAATAATAAATTATCTGTATTTAGTGAAAATCTTTTTTTACATTAAATTTCTTTTCTATTTCGGAAATTTAAAAGATATAAATTTAGTTTTTAATTTTAAATTAATTTTCAAAGAATTGAAGATTTTATTTGCTAAGCTTTTTTTTATGTTTAATGAAAAATATTTTTTATATAATATTAATATATAAGTCTCTCTCTCTTTCTCTTCCTCTCTTTATCACATTGACATATCTCTTTATTCCGTCTCGCTTCATTTAACGCAAATTTAAATTGTTTATAATATAATAATATTATAAATATAATATAATAAGTAAGGTTCAATCGATTTGTGTATATTTTTGTGTATTAATTTTCGAGATTATTTTGGAACTTTAGAATCAACTTTCCAAAAACATTAGCGAATATATTGACAATATTCTAACCTCTATAATATATAATAATCACAATAAATTATTTCTATAAATAATTGCAGAAATAAGAAATAAAATATTAAGTGAATTACTTGGAATGAATTAATGAATAAAAATTAAAACTGCAAACATAGACTTAGTTCACACAAATGGTATTTATCACTATTATAAATATTATTATCTTTTTACACTAAATTATCTATTAATGAATTTTTAATTGTAAGAAAACTTGTTAAAGATAACACTTTATAGTTATAGGGTATTCCCTAGGCTCTAGGGTATTTTCTTATTCATCATTTCTTTGGGACTTTTTATTTTTTTGTAAGATCATTATTTCAAATATTCAATGAAATATACTATAATAAAAATACATACCTATAATTGATCAAATATTTCTTCAAAAGAAATTGAAAAATATTGCTTCAAGAAAATCTTCATTGGTGTATTTTCAAGAGAAATTATTTTTAATGATTATTTTAATTTTTAAAAATATAACGTGAATAAATTATTATAAATATAGCTGAATTACTTTTGAATCAAATTATATAAAATATGATTTTTAACGAACCCTACGAAACCTCAATAAAATATGAACATATACATATACAATTTTTTTTTGCAAATTAACAATTAATAATTGAAATGAAAAAAATCAATATACTTAAAAATAATTTGAAATAATCAACTTCATTCATTAATATGTATGATATAAAATGATATAAAATTTTATAAAATACTATAAAAATATACAAATATATTATATTATATTTGTAAAACCGGAATTATATATTTTTTTTCAATTTATTAGTTTTAAAATTCTAAATTATAATTTTTCAAATGCTATTAATAAATTGTTTGTGAATAAAATACAAACAATGTATCATTAATTGACGTTAATTCATCAAATATGTTTATAATTAGAGATAAATTAAGATATTGAGCAGAATACCGATAAAAAAAGAAATTTTTCGTAAAATTTTTGAATTTTTGCACGTAATATGTTTCTTGTTTGACAGGTTTTAATTCTGAAAGAAGATTTGTCTTCGTTTTAGGTTAAACTGGTTTATGTATACATGTATGTATAAACGTTGGCAACGTTAATATAGATTATCATTATATGATGCGTATGTATGAACATATTTTATATTTTTAAAAATAATTAATATTTATTTATTATATAGATACTGTAATTTTTTTATATTTTTTAAATTTAATAACAAAAATTTCTTTATTTTCATTTTTTATTTTATTTTAAGATAAAGAAAATTTAGTGAAAAATATAGTAATATTGTTACTGAAAGTTTTATGTTTACTTCTAGTTTCGAAGTATCTAGTTTAGAATTAAATGTGTTGAGTCAGTAGTTTATTTATTTATCAGTTTCTTTAGAAAATTATTTTATCGATAAATTACTGTAAAATTTTTTGTCTTATTTTTACTTTTAATAATGGGAATGACGATATGTATATTTTTGAAATTCAGAAAAAAAATGGTTTGTAGTTTATATTCATATAAAATGTTTTGTTATTTATGTTATATATTATTTATATTATTATATGTATATTTTAATTATAAAATATAAAAAAAATAAAAATATAATTTTAATAATTTTCTTCTAAATAATATTAAAAAGTAATTAAAAAATATATTAATTTTTTAACATTTTTATTAATTTTTTTTGAAGATAGATATGTATATATATAATATTTACATAATTATTCAATTTATAAAATAATTTTAATAGTAATATATTAATAATGAATAAATATATGATGCTGATAAGTATATAATATAATTATAAAGATTGACAATAAGATTTAAGAATATTCAAAATATTTCTTTATTGTCTGTTTATATTTAATATTTTAATCAGTTAATATTAATTTTTTTTTTACGAATTGTATATATGAATCATTTTTATTATTGATATTATTGATCATTTTATCAAAAAATATAATTCTTCCTTTCAAATCATGATTAATGCGATATTTTTATATTTATAAAATATTTATAAGTGTTTACAAAATTTGCAATGTGTAATCTAGATGAATTTGAAATATTTTCAGGATCAAATACAAACATATCAGATATCTTCAACTTAACACATTTACAAAATATTCATGTTCTATAATATATTAACAATAATTTTCCATCTGAAATAAAATAAAATCTATTTTTATATTGTAAATTATTATGATAGTTTTTTATTTCTAAATTGTGAATGTAATTTTTAATTTATATATAAATATTCTCTCATTTAAATCAATATCATATATTATTGAATATTTATCGATTTAAATCCATGATGCACGTAGTGAACACATGAATAACTAAATGTAGTAACGAAGAATATCAAATTTCTCTATCACATAACTATTAGTCAATCGCTATCAATAATTCCGAAAGAATCATGCATTAAAAATGGTTCAATGATTATACAATCTCAATTCCCTCTAATATATTCAATTTACATGCATTTGTAGCCATTCGCACACTATAGTTATGTATTTATAGGTTATGTATGCAGTTATATTCAATGCAAATGTTTTACACAGTGTTCGAACGAACTAAAATTTGAAGAATAATTCTAGAGATTGAAACAAATACGAAAATTGCTATGCAAAAACTTGTGTCGAGGCTTGATTTTTAAATTGGAAATGACTTAATTTTACGTTGGACGAACTAAAATGTTTTCAGTTTCATAATTCCATCTCTTTTCATCTACCTCAAAATTAAATTACTTGCAATCTCATAAATAAATTCCAATCGATGTTTTTGTATACCAACTTTCCTTGTTCGTTTTAGTTTCTAAGACTTCTCTTTTCTACCTGCTTCGAACATCGTGTACACGTGATTGTTTGGCAGCCTACAGAGGACGTGGTGGGAATATGGAATGGTCGAGACTCGATCCAGAGGGGAATCGAGATATAAAAGTCCCTCGAAGCATCGCAAAGATTCTATTCAGAGACCGGTACTGGTCGACATCGTTCGGAGAGCTTTACTCTTGGCGAGATTCCGACGTGTAATCGTGCAAAAGTCGTGCAATCAGTCACACTTTTATTTTTTTCGAATTTTCGTTTTTTTTCCTCGTACAATTCGTCGTGTCATTTCAATATTCTGCTTAGGGAAGTATTTGTACTCGATATATCGAAAAGCTTCAGTGATCAAAATGCCTACTTGCGCGTGTGAAAATCGTTTCTTGGACGAGGAAAGCCACGTATGTCAACTGAAACCGCCGGTTGAAAATGACGAGGAAGAGACACAAGAGTATGATCCTGCAGTTAGGTATTTGATTTTTTTTTTTTTGTTCTTTCTTGAATAAGATATGTGGAAATAGAAAAAGAAACATTGAATAAATTTATTAATTATATTATCGTTTGAAAAATTTGAATCACTTATTTGATAAAAAAAATGAATTGTTAATAAAAATATAAATGAATGAGTTTTTATATCAAAATACCTATGTAATTACTACAGAAAACTTTAGATAAATATTATTATTCATTCTTATTTAAAATATTTAGATAATTCAATTATATATACCGTATTATTAAATTCTTGTTAATTATCAGAAAAAATTAAATTATTATTATTATTCATATTTATTTAAAAATGTTTGGATTTAATTATATATATTAATTATACATATTAATTATATGTGTATATACATTACATATTATTAATTCTTTCTATTCATTTCAATTATTCATTGAAAAGATAAAGTATTTTGTTATTATAATACATTAAAATAGTTTCGAATTGAAATTTATATATATATATATATATATATATATACACACACAATATTATTGAG